AACCATGTTTCAAAAATGAAAGCTGAAAGCGTCGAATTTAATTTTGTAATTAAATTAAAGACATTAGTTCCATTTCATCCTCAAGCGAATTTTGGAGTAACTTTTAAAATTACTGGGTTTTAAAGACACACACACACACACACACACACAAAAAGGTTAGAACTGTGTAGCGAAAAAAAACATATTTTAAATCAATTAATTTATAATATTATTGCTCTGTAAATTTACATTGAGTACTATTTTGTAAACATAAAATATCTATAAAAAACACCGGTTTATATATCTAACTGTTCTTTCTTTTATTCATATATATATATATATATATATATATATATATATATATATATATATATATATATATATATATATATATAAAAAATCAGGAGATCAGTTGAATCCGCTACCTTGGTTTTAACTTTACGGTATCATCGGGCGATTTTTATTAAATGACTTCATAATGCTTTATTTTTTTTTTTTTTAAACTAATGAACGCTATATTATTTTTGAAAAAAATAAATAAACAGACGCACGACGTTGAGCGTAATAGAAATGGAGGCGGAGGATGTCAAGAAGAAGAAGGAGGAGGAGAAGGGGGAAGAGAAGAAAAGCAAGAGTATTATAAATGTATCGGTGGAGGGGAGGTATTGCAAATCACTTTTTATCCAGCCTCATATGTGCTTAAGAGAAATTTCTTAATTTGTAAACAAGGACTCAAATCTTCGGATTTCTGGTTTAAAAGATTCTGTTTATCCCGAAATGTCATAATTGCTAATTTTTCCTATTGGCACAGCTTGCAAATATTGTTGCGCTTGTTATAAGACTTATATATATATATATATATATATATATATATATATATATATATATATATATATATATATATATATATATTACGTCAAACGCTATTTTTAGTGGATACACGTATCTGAGTAGACGTTCTGTTTATTTCAAACTATGTATTTCGTCTTTCTGCATACTTGAGAAAATTTATAATGAAATATGACTTACGGCAAGATACGAGGCTGTGTTTCTCTCTGCAGGAAGAAGCATTGTCTGATCTGGCTTCGAAGCGCTTCCCAATAGAGCAAAACTTCGATTTGTGAATTTAAAGCCCACTTACGCATTCAAATTTTTTTCTAGAAAGGTATATATTTTCAGATTCATATCCGAAACGTAAATTAAATCATTTATGATATGTGGTAGTGGAGATATTCATGTGGTTGCATGAAATACTGTAAGGTGTTGCATGCGACACGTGGTTCGCTGAGAGCTAAGAGGCCCCCCTTAGAAGTGGAGATGATACATGTTCTCTCACTAGGGTGTTCTGTGATTGAAGAGAGAACAACAGAGACAGGATTTCTGGTTTTTCCAGATTTTTTGCTGCTTTATAGAACTCCACCAAAAGCAAGAATTAGAAAACTTTCCCTGGCAGAAAAGTTGGGTTATCTCACACTTACATAAGGAATTTGGTAGCGCCATCTAATGATCGTTAGCAGAAGATTTTTATCCGACAATCCTAAAGGCCTTGGGGAGTGTAAACAGTCACCAAATTAGGTCATAAACCAGATCATTTAGACTAGAAAATAAAAGTAGTTAATTTCCTTGATAAATTAGTCATCATAATAACGAAGAGCCAAGAGATGAAACTAATTTTGTTAGTAACTCTATGTACGCGTGAGATTCTCACTTTAAACAAGACTTTGTACCGTATTTTGTTCACGTGCAAGTGTGGATGGATACTCTATAACGTAAATATTTAGATTGTTAAAAAACGCAGACTTGTTCCAAAACCGTTCGTGAGACTAGAATCCAAAAATAGATTAACAGTTTGTTTTGTTTTTTCAGAAGTTAAGTTTAATTTTCAGAAGCTGATAAAATGAATATTAAACAAGAGTATAGTCTCGCTGATTTTTGTTTGTTTGTTGTTTTTTTTGTTTTGTTTGTTTATTTGTTTTTATTCATGAAATTATGCTAATTGCAATTGATGACGTCATGATGATGCAGTGGGTTGCTCGTGATGCCAACAGAATTCAAGGAGCCACCGTGGACGAGCGTTTAATAAAAAACAAAATTTAATAATCAAGTGAAATGATGCAAGAGTTTTCATTCACGGAATACTAATTTCAATTCAATTTCGATCAATTTTATTGTCCCAAATTATTTTAAAAGGGACAAGATTCAAATTTGCCAGCTTCTGTCTTCGTCTCTCGGGAGCTTATTTGGTGGGGTGCTATCAGTCATCAAAAGCGGACACATGTCCATCTTATGCCAAAACAATTGCATTTCCTTTAAGGAAAAGGATTTAAAGTCAAGTCTGTTCGAAATTCAAATCAAATGTGAAGGGTACGATTTCTAATGACTGGTGGTCCTAATCTGTTTTTAATCGAAGCAACCGTCTGGAAATGTTTAAAGACTGCGCGCAAAGAAAGTGAAAGATTTAGTGTGTGTGTGTGTGTGTTAGGAAGAGAAACAGTAAAAAAAGCGGGACCTCATCTGGAATTTAGGAAAATATAGAAAGACGATAGATAACGATGCAAAAGACGAATGTTGTAAAGAGAAAAAGAAATAGAAAACGAGAGAGAGAGATGAGTAAAAAGAATTGAATGTAAAAAGAGGAAGAAAGCCAGAAAAACTCAAAAGAAAGAAGAAAAAAACGGAGAGATTGCTGTAGAGAGAGAAAACGAGAAAATGAAAATAAGAGAAAAAGCGAGACGAATGAAGATAGAAAAAAAAGGAAAGACAGAAATGGAAAAAATAATAGAGAAAGTGAAGGAAGGAATAATCGAAAAAGGAGGAAAAAAGAAATAGATAATTTCTTTAAAGAAAGAGAGACAAGAATCGATTTAAACAGAAAGAGAACAAAAAGGAAAGAGAAAGAAAAGCTGAAAGAAAGAGATGAAAGGAGAGATGAAAAAAGACTTACGAAACGAAGAGAAGAAAACTGCTTACATAGGAAAATGAAAATGAATTGTCTGGAGACAAATGATTAAAAAAAACATTTATTTTACTCAAGATATTAGATATTCACTATTTACATTATTCAGACTATTGTTCTCAACTTTGTCGCCATATTTATTACAACGTTTCAGCCGTTGTACGCTCCGACCTTCTTCAGGTGATTGGAATGTCGAAATGAACCGTTTATTTCACTCACTGTGGTAAACTGTTCTAGTTCCACGTGCCATGTTTAATGGATGTCGGTTATCAGTTATCTCCTGTTAATTCTCTTCTCCAAGTTCTCCACTTCCTTAACCTGGATCTAACTAACGCCTTTAGCCTCAAGGGCACATGGCACAGTGGATAAAGGCGTTAGTTAGATCCAGGGACAGGACCCAAAGAGTGTGAGTTCAACCGGTGTATTCTTCGAAAATAAGGTTTTTCAAGCAACCACTCTTTGCAATTCTAGTGCTCAGTATCAGGAGATAAAACATATACTCAAAATATATAATCGAAAGTTTACTTATCTTCCGTCTAATCTGAATTCCGCAGAGATTACATCCACTCTCTAAGAAAATGATTTTAAAATTTTCATCTATCAGATTTTTCTTAATAATTATTTACCCGCTTCCCCACGATGTGGCACAAGGCCGAGTTTAAAGTGGGGTATCCGAGCCTGTACGCTTGGGCAAAAATTTCCTATAGGTCACGTCAAAACGGAATCAGTTTCCCGAGACTCTGCCCTTCGGCAGAGCCTCGCCTGGGAGATACCCTCTGATATAAGCGAGTTAAGTATTTTTCTTAATAAATGTTAATTAATTTTCCTTAAATGACGTTAATTTATGACGTAAACTTTTTCAATTTTTTCTCCATTAAAAGACGTTATTGCATAATATAAATCTATTTTTATTTTAATCATTTCACCCGAAACAAGAAACTAAATGCACGAAGATGCAAAGTGTTGGTGAATGTGAGAGAATACGAGACAAAAAAACATTAAGGAGAGAGAACAATAAAATGAAATTTCTTGCTTGTATTAGATAATTTCTTTAATATAATCAGAAGTTAAATATCACTTTGCCTTTGGATTTAATTGATATTGTTCACGATTGCACTAAGGAGTTCTTCTACCCAAAATCTGTTCCTTGTGTGTTGAAATTTCGGAAATTGAGTCAAGACTAGAACTTTTCATTTTCCTGGGTATGAGGATAAACTATATCCGGCAGCAAGGCCTAAGATCGGAAGATTAGACCTTTTGAGGAACGTAGAACCACTTCTTAATTCTTGTTGTTCCCGGGGGTGGTAACACCTGTTAGGGTCCCAGCTATGGGCAAATAGTTAACCCCCAAACTGGGGTCAAAAACCATGAAAGTATTAAAATATATTTTTATAGTGAAAATAGCAGCAATAAATCTTTGAAAAAAGATACAAGCAATACGTTCTTGTAAAAAAAAAAATAAAGTAAAATTTACCAGCAATACATTTTTCAAAAGAAATTTACCAATCCAAAAAAATTAAATTTTGGCATTAAATGACCCATAAGGTATTGATATGCCGTTAAACAAACAAGCAAAAGAACTTATAACTATGTGCATGTGTACTGAGTCACTATCATTTATCAACGACGTAAGAAAGTAGGACTTAAACTCTTTAGAAAAGAAAAGATTGATAGTGAGAAAAGAGGGATTAACCTTTTTTCATACCGGGAACATTTTCTTTAATCTTTTTCTTTTATCTTAAAATAGTTTTTTTTTTCTAAGAAATAGGTTACTCAAGTCCATTAAGTACTGTTTCTCTTTCTGCTATTAACGGAGGGGGGCGTTTACTAACGCTTTTGTTTAATGTACTCTGTGGGAAGTCTGGATATTATATTATCATTCCTTCTCCAATGCTAACCATTTTAATTGTTGCTGCTGTTGAAAATCCAATGAGGTTTCTGTTTACTCTGGTAACTTCAGTCCGTGAGGTTCGAAGAAGGATGATCCTCGCTGGAACCTACACTACCCGCTTCATTCACTTCGGGCATTTTTAACCATCGATCTGAAAAAGCGGTTCTATACAGCTGATAATTTACATATTTCTGAACGAATCTGGCAACAAACATGGTATCCATAAGGGAATATCGTTCTGACAAGATTATTTAAAAATACGACTTCAGTTTTTAAGGTTTTGCATTTGTCGCAGCTTGCGATGTTAGGCGAAACTTACCCCGACCCTATGTTCAACTTCCTTATCGTTTATAGTTTACTTTTATATATATATATATATATATATATATATATATATATATATTGATCTACCCATTGATCTATCTATCTCACCTCAGCCTTTTCTTCTATCACTCCTATCTGCTCTTGCTCCAAATCTTCTGCAACCCCTGCATCCAAGTGGCTTCACGCCTTGCTCGGGGCGTAATGCTTATATATATATATATATATATATATATATATATATATATATATATATATATATATATATATATATATTGATATATATATATATATATTGAATAAAAAGACAGAACACGTTTAGATTCCATATAATAAGCTATTTCACCATAACCCCTTTAACAGGGGTTCTGGATCATCAGACTTTACTTTCCAGGACCCTGTTAAAGGGGTTATGGTGAAATAGCTTATTACATGGAATCTTAACGTGGTCTGTCTTTTATTGAAACATATCTGCTCTGAATTTTACATTGAGCTCTCTGGATATCATCCTCCTCAGGTCTTCCTATACGGATTACCTAAGTTTGCATAAATATATATATATATATATATATATATATATATATATATATAATTGATCCATACACTGAGTTATTTTAAGTTTTTTAGAATTTATTAATGCCATATTTTGAATTTTTATGATAGATTCAAATTATGTGCCGTCGCTACTTTTATTCCAATTCCAAAACGGTTTTTGTTTTGGAAAAGTTTATCTTGAGTTCGATCTCTTGGAGCACTTGGTACAGGATGTTGATTTTCTTGTTCAAGATCATTATTATCATCGTCAGCAGAGTCTGCCTCATCATCGGTACACTGACCTCTCGAACTAAAACAGGAAGAGACAAAATGCACGCCTGTCAAAGAATGATGGTTAATAGAACCTTTCGAATAAGATCAATTATTACAACATTCCCAGATATTGTGGCCTTGTGTCAGCTTGAAGAAGTTTTCAGAAATAAACCCTGACTAGTAGGCCTTGTAGATATAGATATATATATTTCCTGTCGTCCTCACTATCAAAACCGGATAAACACCTATGATATTGAAAGTTGGCTTTAAAGGCAATTTTTTCAGTTCAAAGAAATAAAGCATCAGCATCTTCCTAGTCGAATTTCGACTCTTTTCGACATGGAACTATTAAAGAAATCAAAGACGTGTCGCGATATCCTAACACACCAAGCGTTCCTAATTTTACAGAAATTATTATTGCCTTTAATTTAAAGAAAATCTTTGTTGTATTTTCTGGTCACAGACTTTTTGCAAGTCTTCATTTTCACAGAAAGCGACACTCCTCATTATAAACCCACGTCACTGATTCTAATAATCATTAATGGACAATCGTTCGGCTACAGATCATCTTTACGCTTCGATCCACTTCGTTCACTTTGTATTCTTCTAGTTTTTATTCTATTGATATTACGAATAACATTACATTTTTTTTTATTCAGCCTAACCCATTCTCATTCTTCGATTCCTGTTTATTCATCATTCCTGCCTCTAGTTACAATTAGATGTGTCCTCGTTCGAAATCACTTATTTCTTTGTTTCGTTTTTCATTAAATTCAAACCTTTCTCTGTTGTTTTTTTTTAAGAACTTCCTTTAAAATAAAAAAATATTTTTTTATTTTTAAATTTTCAAATGAATCATTCAAAAATCATTTCTGCAATGGAGCAGCAACTACAACAAACATACACCCTAAAAAAAAAACAGACAAACAAATAGAACCGAATCTGGAAATCATGAAGATACGGACTGTTGGGCCAGTGTAATAGGACAGATGGCATTTGGCTTGTGTTGACATTGGGGTTGGAGGGTTGGAAGCAGAAGAAAGACAAAAATGACAATTATATGGCGACCCTCCAAAGTCCGTGTCAGTGCTTCTCTTATGAGCTAGAGTTGTGATTAAAATGTATTTTGGTTGTTTTGTTTTTAACTTTTTTTTTCTGTTGCTCTATTGAACATTGCAATCAGACGCCAGTGAGCCATGACCCTCTTGAATTAATGGTAGTCATAGCTAACCGCAAAATCTCTCTAAGGGTCGTCACTAATTCCTGGAGATATTTTCAGTATCGTTGACATTACTCTTCCACCCAGTGGAACGATAAGCTCTCTACCCGCTGCATTTGTGGGGGTATTTCCATTGAACAGTGAGCAAACGTAACAGATACTATTTATTCTCTATTATTTTAAGTTTTTAAAAATCAAGAATAGTTTGCTCTACGGCGTTATCGTTTTATTAACTCTCCAATGACCACGGTAAAATCCGGTATTAATGTGTTTAATAGCAGTAGATAGGTTCACCTATTGTCCGGTTCACGCTTCTTCCAGGATTTTTGAACAGAAGAAGATTTATCCCTTCTTTCTGTTTAGGATCGGGGTTTCTGGTTCCTTCTAAAGCCTACTTCATTTCTATACTTCTAACATCTCCGCTTAAAACTCTGAACTTTTATTTACTGTTAAATCATTTTTTTCTCAATAGGAGTAGATAGGTTCGCCTATCATCCCGTTCACACTCTTCCACAGTCTTCTGGACAGGAGTAGAGTTTTATCCCTTGTTTTCTGTTTAGGATTGGGGATTCTGGTTCCTTTTAAAGTCTACTTGATCTCTATACTTCTAACGTCTCCGCTTAAAACTCTGAACTTTTATTTACTGTTGAATCACTTTTTTTTCTCAATAGGAGTAGATAGGTCCGCCTATTGTCTCGTTTGCACTCTTTCCCGGTCTTTTGAACAGGAGTAGAGGTTTATTCCTTGTTTTATGTTTAGGATTCGGTTTTCGGTTCCTTCTAAAGTCTTTACTTTCTCTTTCACTCCTAATAGTCCCTTGCGTCTTAGTGGTATATTCCCTTTGTCTGGGGTGGTTTTATTTAAAAGAAACAAGAAAATCTTGTTAAAAACAAAGAAAGTAGTGCTGAACTTCAATCATATCTCCTATATGACAGTGGAAAATCTCTTCACGGATGAAAGGGAGACTTGAGACAAGGGAGATGTGGTTCTACAGAAGGATGCTGAGAATACAATGGATGCAACAGAGAAAGTTTTAAGGAAAGCGGAAGCAAAAACGACACTGATATCTAGAACAGAAAGAAACAGTTGAAATTCCTGGAGCAGATGATAAGGAAAGAAGGTTTGGATAATTTGACACTCACAGGGCATATTGGAAGCAAAAAGGGCACACCGAGCAACTTACCTAACGAACCTGTGTAAACGAATGGGAGGAATAGTAAAGGGAGAAACATTGCTTAGAGCGTGAAGTGTTAGGAAGTTGTAGAGAGCCATGACCGCCTAAGAATGTGGTATATAAAAGAAGATTTATTATATAATTATTATTTATTATTATATACATTACTAAAATTGGGACTATGGGCATTAATGTGTCAATTAGCAAAAGTCGAAAATCGATAGAAAAGACTCACGAAATAATGACGTTATCCACGCTACTCCAAGCAAAAGGTTCGTAAGGAAAGCTCCATCAATACTGAGAAGAGTAATAAGAGCTACTGGAGCCAAGAAACCTATTTTCCTGAAAATTATTTTCATAGAAAGATTTTATAAATCTATAAATGCTCAGTCAATAAATTCCGAATGTTTCCTTATAAGGAAAAGGTTAATATTACCATTACAGTGGCCCTATTTTTTCGGCACGAGATCAAAGTTCTCATCATATGTCTGAAGCAGTGGATTACTTATACACACATACCTAAAATAAAGAATAATTTAAGAGCAAGGAATATTAAGCGATGAACAACACTAATAAAATTGTTGTATCCTTAAAGAGGTTCAAACAAATATGGTACTCGAGTCAAGGAACAGCAACACACGCGTAGATGAAAGAAAGAGAATACACTACTGAAAGACAAGGAATCGGTTAGAAGGCTAGTAATTCCCGAAGCAAGGATATTTGTCAACCGCCCCACGCGGTCAGATGTGGCACAAGGCCGAATTTAACGTGGGGTATCCGAGCCCGTAGGTTCGGGAAAATTTCCCCGTAGACGGGGTCGGGTTGCTGTCTACCACCCCAGACAAGACTCTGCCCTTCGGCATTCTCGTGTGTTCTATCGTTAGGCTTTTATTAGATTAATCTAATCTCTAGCTTCTTCGTTGCAGTCTGTAACCTTATAGGTATATGTGTAGCAGACCCCCTGGAGGGGGCGTGATGTGAGATGGCCCGAGCACCCTAAATCAGCATGAGGTCACAAGAGGCCCAATAACATTTTTAAATTAAAGACGTGAAATCTGACAGGTGAAACAAAATGGACAACAGAACGAGGATATTGAAGATTAATACAAAATTTATTTACAATGCAGAACTGAGTGTCCGTGGCTTAAATGGTCTGGTAATTGAAGGGAGGTTGGACTGGACGTGTCGATGACGGGACGTTGATGTGCGGTCGTTCCGGTCGTGTCGACAGTCGAACTGGACGTGTCGACGACGGGACGTTGAGGTGCGGTCGATCCGGTCGTGTCGACAGTCGGTCTGGTCGTGTCGACAGGAAGTTGAGGCGTGGTCGGTCTGGTCTCTGTCGGCCAGGAACGTATCGGCGATGAGAAGCTGGTCAGGGCCGAGCAGGAACGTTATCGGCGACGGAAGCTGGTCAGTGCCGAGCAGGAACGTTATCGGCGACGGAAGCTGGTCAGGGCCGAGCAGGAGATTTGCTACGAAAAACGAAGGTGTAAAAAATGGTCAGGAAGTGTATTATGCCTAGGTTCGTAACACAAAAGAAACTAAAATGTCGTTAGATCTATTCTAAAACTAAATGAAATTTAATTCCATAGTGTGTAGGGAAACACAATGAAAAGGTCATGGTCGAAGCGTTCTATTCATTTCTGTGTGGGAGCGACCAACCGCGGTTGCGACATATATATATATATATATATATATATATATATATATATATATATATATATATATAATGGTATATATGTAACCATATAGGTATACAGAACAGAACATTATATCTGATCGTTTTTATTATATTATTCTCGATATTTAATGAGCGAGGATGACATTTATTTTCACATTTACTCAATAAAAATCAGTATTCTAAATCCTGAATTTTGTCTGGACCCGGGCGGCCATTTTTAGCACGAGTGTAAAATAACTATGTGGCAGATATATTGAACCAGAACCGGAGCAGAAATGGTGAGCAGGACTTGCCTTATTCTCGACGAAAGAGAGTTTCTCTTTGTCTGGCATGTAGGACTTCGATTTGAGAAAGGCGAGTACATTGTTCTGTCAAAAGAGAACCTTGTTCTTTGTTGTTCTACAATAAATTGGTTCATTAGCAACTGTGTATAATATTAGCGTTGTTGGATGGAATCAAGGGAAGACATGTGTTAGTACACCATTATGATGTGCACGCATGTCTAGTGTGTCTATCTTCTGGGCGTGTGATTGGTGATTCCCCATTATAACTAAATCATCGCGTAGATGAGAGTGGTCTCTGTCAGAGTATATTATACTGTACGTACAGTTGTGTCAGGAAGAACGAAAGACGAAGCGGATACAGGAAAGAGAACTACGAAAAATATCGAGAAACCGGTGTAGATGGAAGAAACGCCCAATCTGAAATTGTGTCCCAAAACAGAGTTGCTAATTTCTTTTGACAACAGAGTAGCCATTACTTCTACAAGACATATCATAGAGAAAGATATTCCCGCTTCTTTCACCTGTCGTACCTCGTCTCTTTCCATGGAATTTCAATAATCTTTCTAGTGGTATGACTATAAAGTAGTGCCTCTAATTTCAAGTTAAATTAGAGTCTGATGCTTTCTGGGCAACAGTGTAGAATCTGTGAGACCGTGTTCCATATTAACCCATCAATATATGTTTCATTTTAAATAATATTTTTCATAGGAGATTTAGTAGCTAGCGGGTCACTGGTTATGATTTCACAAGTGATAAATGATAGGGATGTTAGTCGTAATAAATCAGCAAAAAGAAGAATGGTAAACTTATCTGGCATCGCCGGACGGGTTTCTACCATTTGTTGAGTCAGAACGGATTAATGTCTTCTGTCTTTTATTCTTTAGATTTCTCATGATGCGATCGAATTACTTTTGCATTTTGACAAAGTGAACGAACTTAACTGATCACAAACAGGGAAAAAGACAGAAAGAAAAGCTTTTTAGCTCTAAGAAAGAAAAAAAAATTCGGAAAAAAAAACAGTCACGGGGTGGAGATTGAGTTTTCGTATTTGAAACAAGAAATTGTCACAAAATGTAAAACAATGATGAATAAGCAAAAACAAAAAAAAATTGAATGCGAAACTACACCAGACACTATGTCACTAAATACAAACGCCGATCTAAGTGTTTAAACATGGGAATCGTGGTAGAAAAGTAAGATTTGGCTTGTAAGCCACATCGGCTCGACACGAGACTGTCAGTTCGCTTCGTTATCCATTACGCTAACCCTATTATCCACAATTCAAACAAAAGTTTCTTTCAAAATATTTTAAATGGTTAATTCTCGTTCTACGAGAGCCACCCGAGAAAAAGTGGTATTAATGAAGCTTGGGTTAGTATGCCACAAAGACAAATAAACTACACTCTGTGAGAATCTAATTCAGTACACATACAAATGGCCGGCGAGATTACTTTGATAACAATCGCTCTACAACACAGACGCACAAAAATGCAGACGTCAAAGGTCTTTTACAATTTCTGTTCTGTATATCTATATAGTTACATATATATACCTATATGGTTACATATATATACCTATATATACATATACATATGTCGCAACCGCCGTTGGTCGCTTCCACACAGAAATGAATAGGACGCTTCGACCTTGGCCTTTTCATTTGTTCCCGACACACTATGGAATTAAGTTTCATTTAGTTTTAGAATAGATCTAACGACATTTCAGTTTCTTTTTGTTACGAACCTAGGCATAATACACTTCCTGACTTCATTTTTCGTAGCAAATCTCCTGCTCGGCACTGACCAGCTTCCGTCGCCGATAACGTTCCTGCTCGGCACTGACCAGCTTCAGACGCCGATAACGTTCCTGCTCGGCACTGACCAGCTTCCGTCGCCGATAACGTTCCTGCTCGGCACTGACCAGCTTCGTCGCCAATAACGTTCCTGCTCGGCACTGACCAGCTTCTGTCGCCGATAACGTTCCTGCTCGGCACTGACCAGCTTCTGTCGCCGATAACGTTCCTGCTCCCTGACCAGCTTCTGTCGGCCCTGACCAGCTGACCATCTTCTCGGTCGCCGATAACGTTCCTGCTCGGCCCTCGACCAGCTTCTGTCGCCGATAACGTTCCTGCTCGGCCCTGACCAGCTTCTGTCGCTGATAACGTTCCTGCTCGGCCCTGACCAGCTTCTGTCCTGATAACGTTCCTGCTCGGCCCTGACCAGCTTCCGTCGCCGATAACGTTCCTGCTCGGCCCTGACCAGCTTCCGTCGCCGATAACGTTCCTGCTCGGCCCTGACCAGCTTCTGTCGCTGATAACGTTCCTGCTCGGCCCTGACCAGCTTCTGTCGCCGATAACGTTCCTGCTCGGCCCTGACCAGCTTCTGTCGCTGATAACGTTCCTGCTCGGCCCCTGACCAGCTTCTGTCGCCGATAACGTTCCTGCTGACCGCTTCCGTCGCCGATAACGTTCCTGCTCGGCCCTGACCAGCTTCCGTCGCCGATAACGTTCCTGCTCGGCCCTGACCAGCTTCTGTCGCTGATAACGTTCCTGCTCGGCCCTGACCAGCTTCTGTCGCCGATAACGTTCCTGCTCGGCACTGACCAGCTTCTGTCGCCGATAACGTTCCTGCTCGGCCCTGCTTCCGTCGCCGATAACGTTCCTGCTCGGCACTGACCAGCTTCTGTCGCGTTCCTGACCGGCGGCCCTGACCAGCTTCTGTCGCCGATAACGTTCCTGCTCGGCCCTGACCAGACCTTCTGTCGCTGATAACGTTCCTGCTCGGCCCTGACCAGCTTCTGTCGCCGATAACGTTCCTGCTCGGCCCTGACCAGCTTCTGTCGCCGATAACGTTCCTGCTCGGCCCTGACCAGCTTCCTGTCGCCGATAACGTTCCTGCTCGGCCCTGACCAGCTTCCGTCGCCGATAACGTTCCTGCTCGGCCCTGACCAGCTTCCGTCGCCGATAACGTTCCTGCTCGGCCCTGACCAGCTTCTGTCGCCGATAACGTTCCTGCTCGGCCCTGACCAGCTTCTGTCGCCGATAACGTTCCTGCTCGGCCGATAACCTGACCAGCTTCTGTCGCCGATAACGTTCCTGCTCGGCTTCCGTCGACCACGTTCCTCGGCCTGACCAGCTTCTGTCGTCCGTCCGTCGCCGATAACGTTCCTGCTCGGCCTGACCAGCTTCTGTCGCCGATAACGTTCCTGCTCGGCCCTGACCAGCTTCTGTCGCCGATAACGTTCCTGCTCGGCTCCTGACCAGCTTCCGTCGCCGATAACGTTCCTGCTCGGCCCTGACCAGCTTCCGTCGCCGATAACGTTTCTGCTCGGCCCCGACCAGCTTCCGTCGCCGATAACGTTCCTGCTCGGCTGACCAGCTTCTGTCGCCGATAACGTTCCTGCTCGGCCCTGACCAGCTTCCGTCGCCGATAACGTTCCTGCTCGCCCCCGACCCTGACCAGCTTACTGTCGCCGATAACGTTCCTGCTCGGCCCTGACCAGCTTCTGTCGCCGATAACGTTCCTGCTCGGCCCTGACCAGCTTCGTCGCCGATAACGTTCCTGCTCGGCCCTGACCAGCTTACGTCGCCGATAACGTTCCTGCTCGGCCTGACCAGCTTCCGTCGCCGATAACGTTCCTGCTCGGCCCTGACCAGCTTCTGTCGCCGATAACGTTCCTGCTCGGCACTGACCAGCTTCTGTCGCCGATAACGTTCCTGCTCGGCCCTGACCAGCTTCTGTCGCCGATAACGTTCCTGCTCGGCCCGTTCCTGCTCGGCCCTGAGCTTCTGTCGCCGATAACGTTCCTGCTCGGCCCTGACCAGCTTCTGTCGCCGATAACGTTCCTGCTCGGCCCTGACCAGCTTCTGTCACCGATAACGTTCCTGCTCGGCACTGACCAGCTTCCGTCGCCGATAACGTTCCTGCTTCGTCGCCGATAACGTTCCTGCTCGCCCTGAGCTTCCGTCGCCACGTTCCTTCCGTCGCCGATAACGTTCCTGCTCGGCCCTGACCAGCTTCTGTCGCCGATAACGTTCCTGCTCGGCCCTGACCAGCTTCCGTCGCCGATAACGTTCCTGCTCGGCACTGACCAGCTTCTGTCGCCGATAACGTTCCTGCTCGGCACTGACCAGCTTCTGTCGCCGATAACGTTCCTGCTCGGCACTGACCAGCTTCCGTCGCCGATAACGTTCCTGCTCGGCCCTGACCAGCTTCTGTCGCCGATAACGTTCCTGCTCGGCCCTGACCAGCTTCTGTCGCTGATAACGTTCCTGCTCGGCCCTGACCAGCTTCTGTCGCCGATAACGTTCCTGCTCGGCCCTGACCAGCTTCTGTCGCCGATAACGTTCCTGCTCGCCAGCTTCCGTCGCCGACGTTCTGCTCGGCCCTGACCAGCTTCCGTCGCCGATAACGTTCCTGCTCGGCCCTGACCAGCTTCTGTCGCTGATAACGTTCCTGCTCGGCCCTGACCAGCTTCTGTCGCCGATAACGTTCCTGCTCGGCCCTGACCAGCTTCCGTCGCCGATAACGTTCCTGCTCGGCCCTGACCAGCTTCTGTCGCCGATAACGTTCCTGCTCGGCCCTGACCAGCTTCTGTCGCCGATAACGTTCCTGCTCGGCCCTGACCAGCTTCTGTCGCCGATAACGTTCCTGCTCGGCCCTGACCAGCTTCTGTCGCCGATAACGTTCCTGCTCGGATAACGTTGCTGCTCGGCCCTGCTTCTGTCGCTGATAACGTTCCTGCTCGGCCCTGACCAGCTTCCGTCGCCGATAACGTTCCTGCTCGGCACCGACCAGCTTCCGTCGCCGATAACGTTCCTGCTCGGCCCTGACCAGCTTCTGTCGCCGATGATAACGTTCCTGCTCGGCACTGACCAGCATCTGTCGCCGATAACGTTCCTGCTCGGCACTGACCAGCTTCTGTCGCCGATAACGGTTCCTCGCCGATAACGTTCCTGCTCGGCCTGACCAGCTTCTGTCGCCGATAACGTTCCTGCTCGGCCCTGACCAGCTTCTGGCACTGACCAGCTTGACCAGCTTCGTCGCCGATAACGTTCCTGCTCGCCCTGACCAGCTTCCGTCGCCGATAACGTTCCTGCTCGGCCCTGACCAGCTTCCGTCGCCGATAACGTTCCTGCTCGGCCCTGACCAGCTTCCGTCGCCGATAACGTTCCTGCTCGGCCCTGACCAGCTTCTGTCGCCGATAACGTTCCTGCTCGGCCTGACCAGCTTCTGTCGCCGATAACGTTCCTGCTCGGCCCTGACCAGCTTCTGTCGCCGATAACGTTCCTGCTCGGCCCTGACCAGCTTCCGTCGCCGATAACGTTCCTGCTCGGCCCTGACCAGCTTCTGTCGCCGATAACGTTCCTGCTCGGCCCTGACCAGCTTCTGTCGCCGATAACGTTCCTGCTCGGCCCTGACCAGCGTCGCCGATTCTGTCGCCGATAACGTTCCTGCTCGCCCCTGACCAGCTTCTGTCGTTGATAACGTTCCTGCTCGGCCCTGACCAGCTTCTGTCGCCGATAACGTTCCTGCTCGGCCCTGACCAGCTTCTGTCGCCGATAACGTTCCTGCTCGGCCCTGACCAGCTTCCGTCGCCGATAACGTTCCTGCTCGGCACTGACCAGCTTCTGTCGCCGATAACTTCCGTCGCCGATAACGTTCCTGCTCGGCCCTGACCAGCTTCTGTCGCCGATAACGTTCCTGCTCGGCCCTGACCAGCTTCTGTCGCCGATAACGTTCCCCTCGGCCCTGACCAGCTTCGTCGCCGATAACGTTCCTGCTCGGCCCCAGCTTCTGTCGCCGATAACGTTCCTGCTCGGCCCTGACCAGCTTCTGTCGCCGATAACGTTCCTGCTCGGCCCTGACCAGCTTCTGTCGCCGATAACGTTCTGCTCGGCCCTGACCAGCTTCCGTCGCCGATAACGTTCCCTCGGCCCTGACCCGCCGATACATTCCTGCCTGACACACACCAGACTGACCACACCTCAACTTCCCGTCGACACGACCAGACCTAATTTCGACACGACCGGATCGACCGCACCTCAACGTCCCGTCGTCGACACGTCCAGTGCGACCGTCGACACGAAACAGATGCACACAAACGCAGATGTCAGAGGTCTTTTACAAGTAATTGTAAAATTGAGGACTCTCATCTACGCAAGAAAAGAATATACACACATAGACACCTCCCATCTATATATATATATATATATATATATATATATATATATATATATATATATACTAGTAGCATGGCCGGGCGTTGCCCGTGCTTGATTCAAAATCGTACGACGTATACAGTAGAGCAATCACTATCACTTGACTTTAAAGGAGTGCCTTTTGCCGTGCTGACGTTGCTACATGCCTTACTTCTTGCCTATCACACTGCGAATTTTTTCTAAGCTCTATACTAAACATTATATCTGTTACGAAAAAAGAACTAATCAAAATGAACACAAAACGATCAGCTTTAAAAAAAGGACTCGTAACTGGAAGAACCGAATGAAAAAAGAATGTTAACAACAAATATTTTTCACACCCAAACCAGTTCTGCGCAATCAGAATCAACGTTGACTTTAAGCAAGCGAATAAGCCAATTGGAGTAAAATGTCATGCATATTTAAATTTTTCCCACTTGTGACGAATGCAGCTATCGATTTTTTTTGCATGCTAGTTAACATTCGTGTCAGACAGCTGTTGGCTCTCACGCTGACCAATAGAATCTTCCTGCCTATTCGTGGCAGCCAGCTATTGGCTTTCACTCTGGCCAGTACAAAATGGCCGCAAACTACATGAAAAGTGCCGGAGCAGCATGAAAATATCGATTATTTCCACTATTGATGGGTGTTGGGAAATGCAAAGTCGGTCTTGGCCTTTCCGCTAACTTGGAGCATGTGCATGTAAATTTTGGTGCAAATCCGCCGAAAATTGCAGCTTTGCATTCGTTACACACACACACATTCTGACTTTTATAGATAGAGATCCCGCAAAATCCAAGCATTCTATGTGAGAAAAAGAAAACTCAAATAAAAAACAATTTCTACTGAAATCAACAAAAACTATACAAGAACGCAAAAATAAACAATGAAGTAAAGGAAAAAGCAGTCAGCTATCTAAACATTAACAGTGCTCAATCCCTAGATTATAAAGACAGAGAAAAATGCTTCAATATATATATATATATATATATATATATATATATATATATATATAGTGCGATGGATAAATCGTCGTCACTTTATTTATTTTTTTAAATTTCGCGCATGCGCGTTGTTTGTTTGTTGTTTTTTTTATTTTGTCGACTGCACAGTATCAGTGCAGGATCAGTGAGAAAATGAACACTATGGCGCAATTCACTCCGACAGACATTTGGAAACGGCATGCTGTACTGCTTGGCATTCGCGCCGGAAACATTTCAGAATGTTTGGGTGTCAATCTGAGGACAGAGCAGAAGATTCGGAAAGAGTTGGATCACTCCAATGGTAATTACGAAAGTACGGCAGATCGGAACGCTCATTCTGATCGTTCTGATGAGAAAATAAATCGCAATTTGTTGGCGAGGGTCTCAGACTAAATACGGAGGCTTACATCAAGTGCCTTGAGGAGATGAGTCCAGTCTTAGGTGAAGAGGGTGGCCGCTGAAAACCCTAAATCTGGCAATAGGACTCTGCACTATGCCACACAAGCAAGAGAAACCAGTTATGGCTGCCAGACAGTTTGTTCGACCACATCACACCTTAAATATGGTCACCTAATTCCGCAGACTGCAATCCTCTTGATTATTATATGTGCGGCGCAGTTGAGTGATAGACCAACAAGACTCATTTTTACACTAAAGATGACCTGAAGGAAAGGGCTATGGCAGCATTCACAACAAGGAGACCGTCCAGAAGAGTTACAGGAGATTCTGAAGTCGTCTGGAGGCCGTGCTTGTTGCCAATATCGTTTTTATTGATTAAATTTACTCTTTAGTATTTCAAAATATTTTGTGTGATTTTGATAAATACAGTGCTGTTCGATAAACGTTACTCGCCTGATTTTTGTTACTAAATGTTATCTTCCCCGATGAAACGAAAGTTGAGCTAAATTCAAAGGATAAGCGATCTAAAATCCGAAGAAGAAGCTTTGAAAGCTCTTTGAATTTAGCAGTAAGTACTGTCAGACATCCGATCAGTATAATGTTCTGGGGATGCTTTTTTTCATGGAACTGGATTCTTAAAACCTATTGAAAAGAGCCTCAGGAGTGAGCAGTACAAGATAATTTTAGAGTCTTGTCTGCTCCCTTCTGCTGAAAGGGTGCAAATCGACCCCACCAAGCTCATTTTTATGCAGGATAATGCTCGCGATCACAAATCAAAATTGATAAAGGAATACTTTGATGAGAAGCAGGTGAGTGTTATGACATGGGTGCCCCAATCTCTTGACCTCAACCCCATAGAAAACTTATGGAGCATGTTGCTCAACTGCTTTCTCGAGAGCCTCTACTTTATAATATAATATAATAATAATAATAATAATAATAATAATAATAATAATAATATATAATTGACGTCAACACCGAGTGGAAACAGTGTGTTTCATGGCTGAACGCTATCTTCAGGCCATGAAAATTGCATTCAAGTATGAAATAGACTGTTGCCACTCAGCGTTAACCTCAGTGTCCACTCTTGGATTTACACACGCTTTATCCCGGATATGGAACACTTTTACCCAAATATATAGTATCCCTTAAAAAAATATATATATATATATATATATATATATATATATATATATGCTCAATCAATTCTAATAGTATTGACCAGTCACACCACACTATTGAAATCTATTTGCAAGATACGAAGTGCCCAAATGCACTTTAACGTCGATTAAAATCGACTAAATATAGGCCATAATTTAGCTACCCTGTTCATTTTCTATGATTCCAAAGAAGAATCTGCATTGCTGTAGGTCCTGACCTGGCATCTCGGCGTCAGTTACTTTTCCCACGGCTGTAATTTTGCTTCCCTGTGTCTTTTGCATAAATATTTTGATGTTGATTCTTCTGATGAACCTTACTTTTCGTACATCGGCTTAGGTCCCAGATGTTTACGGCTGTCATTGATAGATGTAACCATAAGTTCCATGCAAACTTTTTTTTTATCTCTCACTTTCATCTGCTTTTCCGGCTATGCAATTATTATCGTTAAATTTCCAAATATATCAATTCTATTGTAGAATGTCATTAAATAATAGCATATTGCTATTATTATCGCCAACTATATACATATATATTGAAACAGGTTTCTTTTAGCCAGGTTCGAATCACGATGACAGATATTTTCGTTAATAACTCTAATATGTTTCGCTTTTATTAAAGCTTCATCAGAGAATAAATTCTGGTTGAGAAAAAGAAACTTCTGATATTTTATGTTGTTTTTTTGTTTTGTTTCGTTTTTTTGTTTTTTTTTTTTGTTGTTTTGTTTTTGTTTTGCTTTCATTGGTTAAGCAGACTTCTTGAGCATCTGTCTTGTCCAGGAACGTTCGTGTGTATAGTTCATGTATGTATGTATATATATTATAATTATAATTACGATAAAATCATGGAGTTCACAGTGACTCTAATTTCAACTGTGATTGACCAATGCGTCGATGAATTGTTACTATTATTATTATTATTATTATTATTATTTTATTTCCTTTGTTTTCCGGTGTGTACTCATTTCTTTCTGGATCCAGACCAGAGACCTAAGATCAGAAATGGCATCATGATATTTTCTACTGAGCAATTTTGAAAAAAAAATCACACGTATTTTACATAGATAAAGCACTTCGTAAGATGAGGGCCGTACACGTGAGAACAGTGTTTTTGCATTTATTTAAGGCATGGGCTACAAGGAATTCCTTTAATGAGCCTGTTGGAATCTTTTCCAACCAATCCGAGGGCTCCAACTACAACAGTGATTGCAGATGTTCTCATGTGCCACATTTTTTTTATATCGATTTCAAGGTCCTTGCATTATTATTATTATTATTATTATTATTATTATTATTATTATAGGTAGACATGGATTTCATGTTTGGATTTATACTGCGTTTTTTAGATTATAATGCTGTTAAAACAAAACCGATTATTTATATAACTGTAATAATAATAATAATAATATTATTATTATTATTATTATTATTATTATTATTATTCCGTTCTCCTTTTTTCTTCTTCTTCTTCTTCTTCTTCTTATTATTATTATTATTATTATTATTATTATTCTTCTTCATCTTCTTCTTCTTCTTCTTCTTCTTCTTATTATTATTATTATTATTATTATTATTATTGACAAACATGCATTTTATATATATCTGCGTATAAAATGCTAACTGTTAAAACAAAACCGATTATTCATATAAATGTAATAAATATCAGCGAATCAACATTGGGAAAAGAAGCTACGATCGAGTTGTTTAGCATCGAGCTATACCCGCAAGTGAAGTTTGTATCTGAATCCATCAGCAAAAGGCTTTTGTGTTTTATAATCTTCTATCAATTCCCAAAAGATGGTGACTTATTGCCAAGCCGCAAGATCCATAAAAAGCGGATCAGTCATCAGAGATGAGAGAGAAACATGTCTATTGAAATGTTCTAACAACAAAGAAAACAAAGATGAGGATATTAGTCCAAATAAACCCCTGGATGCCATTCTTCTCCAGGCTGCTTTGTCTAGAATTAGAGCAGTCTAGCCTTTCCACAAACCCGGTTTATCCATCTCCAGTGGAAAGGCATTGTCTCCTTGACAGGTTTTCATTGTTGAACTCTTCAGTTACTGGAGTTAGAATTGACGATAACAATTGAACCAGCCACCGCCTACCTCCCATCTAATGCAGGCATACACATACTGAGGTTGATGGATCAAATTGAAAACCATCAAGGACGCTATTTTTCTCATTCTCGTCCCGCTTTTAAAGCCTCCCTTATT